CAGAGGAAAGATCATTGGCACCAGTTCCCCTTACCTAGATGAGATGATGATGACAAACGTGAGACAGTTTCAAATACCAAGGTTTCCAAACGACAAACGTTTTCAAACGAAACTTTGAAACTGAGTTCACAATTTCTGCACCAAGATTTGCAACATGTTTCAAAGTTGTGGGTTACTCAGAAAGATGGTTATGGGGTATGGTTTGTTGGTCTCCTTTGTTCCGCTGCCATTGCCCTATGATGATCAATAGATGGAGCCAAAGAGACTTGTTTCTCATAAAATATCCATCTATCTGAGGGCACCTTTAAAACCCAGGACGTTTCGAGTTTTCTGTGCACTAGTTCCTAGCTTAGTTGTTGAGCATGGATCTTAGTTGGTGATGTCTGGAACTTAGTTGTGTGGGTTCAGAACTTAGTTGCCTTACAAACGGTATGGTAGGCTATAGGTACTTCGGTGTACAGCACTACTGTCCAAGAAGGGGTGTGAAAGTTTGGTGAGAGGATGTACAGTGTACTGAACCACCTTGAACCGACTTGAACATCTTTAATCCTATCTTGGAACAATGCATGTGCATGTGAACAGATAGGTAACCATTTTAAGTTTGTAGGAACAGATCTGTGAACTATAGAACCCATAGGAACCTATAGGAACCAGGTAGGAACCAATTTGGAACCAAATGGAACCAGTTTGTGCATGGAAGAGCTTGGAGATGGATTTTCGTTTGTTTTTGTGGTTTTTGGTGTTTTTGGATGTTGTTTGACCCATGTCTTAGGAACTTGATGTTGTGAACTTATTTGGTAGGAGTTTTGTAGGTTATTTGTGAGTTTGAGCTGAAGACGTTTTATGTGGAGAAGCTGGAAGAACGTTTTTGAAGCTTAATTAAGAATTCTTTTGAAGTAGTTTGAGAAGTTTGAAGACGTTTGAGTGTCACTGCGTTTTACTCTGCACGACTCTTCTAAGAAGAAGAGTGACTGAGCTGTCAAACCTGTGTGGTTTGGCTCAAGTCCGAGCTGTGAAAAGGAGCTGCCGCGCCGCTCTCGTGTTTTCACATAGGGGAGACAACAGCGGGGAACACCACAGTAGACCGCGAGGGACAGAGAGGAGGGCGGGCAGGGGGAGAAGGGGGCCCAGAGAAACAGAAGCACGGAGAGAGAGAGAGGGGGCCAAAGAAAAAGAGGAACCAAGACCAAAGCGGCACCAGCAAAGCAAAACCGCACCCCACGAGCAAACAACCACAAAACGAGAGCACAAGGGGCACAGAAAGGACAATGAGCGAAAGGCAACAGGGACGCAAAAGGGGCGACAGCCAAAGTGAGACGGAAGAACAAAAAGGGGCAGAGGAGGCACTCACGCGAGGTCGAAACCTCACCAAACCGAAGAGAGGGGAGGGTGACTCCAGGGAAGGACGAAGGGCGGAGACAACAAAGGGGAAGGAGAGAGGCCGGAGAGAGGCGGGTCACTATGTAAGCCGGAGCGAGGTGTTCTCAAGGTAGTATCGTTTATCTGCACGCAATGTGGCAGACCAGCTGTTATCAAGCGCATGTGAAACTGGAGTGTGCTGCTCTTGCTCAGCAGCAGACTGCCGTAGCGCTGCACCTTTTGCTGCAAATGCATCAATGTCCTCTTGCGGCGGATTACGCCTCAGCATTCGGCTTGGGAAGTCGAATGTTCGCCATTGCTCCTGTAACATGGCGTCCGAGAACCATGTAGCTGGCGACTGGTAGAAAACCCGCCCTGCTAGCGTATCAGTGTTTACAGTCCAATGAGAGAACATATGTCGATGTTCCAATCGTTCATACAGCAGAGCAGCAGACTGATGCAGGCTTTTCTTGGAGTGGCATTGCCGTAGGAGGCTGTAGTCTGTTGGCCAGTTAGGGGGGCACACCGTAGCATTTTGTCTCCACTGTTCCGGTGTGATTCCCCCGGGTGAGGGGTAATTATTGGGAAGGACCGCCTTTGGAAGTCCAAATTCTATATACCTTTCCAACCCCAAAAATGGGCATCAAACAAATCGAACAGTTCAGTGACATCATTTTGCGCATCTTGCGGTTTCTTGCAAAGTCGTCTGGAGTCACAAAATTGGAACTCTTTCAACCCTTTCCCCATTGTAAATAGGGTTTCAGCAGGCGTACCGGCTCCGCCCGACTCCGGCAAGACTCCGCAGCTAAAGACATCAAAACTGGCACAAAACTGGGGTAAAATCGACGTTTTGCATCTCCAGCCTTCTTACAGAGGGGTTGGCTTCGGTTGTGCTAGGACCTGCTAGGATTTTTTATCCAGCCACTCGAGACATTTACCCCAAAGCTGTGCTGAAGAAAGATCATTTTCCTGCGGCGGCCGATAAGTGAGTTGTCACAAGGCGACACTTTTATTTCCACTTCGAGCGGCATGGATGTGGTTTGTTTTAACGTGACGCGGTGCTTACTTTTTCGGCGGGGTATCTAGATTTTATGATACTCTTTTGTTGGGGTATCTGGATTCTATAGTTCCCTGTCCTATTTGGTTTGCATGCACGGTTTGTTAAGCTTGGAACAACATGGTGGTTCTTCGACATCTTGTGGCCTATTTGGCCAGCCATCAGGAGTTTGCGTTTCTCTCAAGTGGCGTGGCCGCAATGTTGGAGTGTACCACAACTATGACGACTCGGAGCCAGGCGAGTGTGCTTTGGAAGTTTTCACAGACAGTGACTGGGCAAGTGACCGTGGCTCCAGACGGTCCATTTCATGTGCAACAATTTTCATGGGTGGATGCCTTTTGTTTTCTGCCAGCCGCATTCAGAAGTTGGTGTCACTTTCTTCAGCAGAGGCAGAGGTCTATGCATGCTCAAGTGGGACCTCTGATGCCATCCTTTTGAGTCGCCTTGTGAGTTGGATACTGGAAAACGTACACTGATATGGTTGTACACTGACAGCTCAGGCGCCCGTGGAATTTTGCAAAGACGTGGGGTTGGACATCCTCGACATTTGTCTTGCAGAATCCTTTGGCTACAGGCCTTGGTGGAGACTGGAACAGTCAAGCTGTCTTGAATAGCAAGCAGCATGAACCCAGCTGATGTGGGAACAAAACGCTTGCCAGCTCCAAGACTGCGCTCGCTGATGTCAACTTTGGGCATATATAATGTTCAGACTGGAAGCCTTGAAGGCGCTGATGACCCAGCTGGCATTTTCAAAAAGAAGGGCAACGTTGTTGGCCAGATTGCAGCCATCCTAAGCGTCTTGAGCCTGCACCAAGTTCAAGGTTGTCAGACTGACAGCAACAACAATGATGGTGATTTGTCACTCAACTTGGTGGTGTTTTCTTTGATGCTGGGATTTGCAGTTCTTGTGTTTTGCAGGTTGCTTGGATTTCTACAGCGACAGCATTTTGACAGGGCAGAGCCAGATGCTGAACCAGCCATTGGCCGTACAGACCCAATCATGGAAGATGCGGAAGAGCCCAATGCAGCTGTCAATGAAACTGCAGCCTCATCCAGTGCCATTCCTGATGATGCCACGCATCAGCTCTCCTTTGCCATCCCAACAAGTTCAATCGACTTGCCAACACTAGAAGGGTTTCTTCGTTGGCTGATTCTACGATGCCGTCGACGCCTTGAGAACTCCAATTTGGATCTTTCGAAAAGGAAAATGTATTTGGAGCGCATTGCAGTTCTTCAAGCGCTACAAGGTGCTTTGGAGAATCTTCTTTTCAGAGCATCAGCAATGCGCAATATGGCAGAGATGGCCGACATCAGTGATGATGAGGAATCCCCCAATTACAGGGGTAGCCAACCAACCTCGTTGGGAGATGCGCAGAGAGCCCACAACTTCTTTATGATGCTACGTGGACAAACGTCAGGAAGCAGGCATGTGGATTCAGTTGTAGATGCCCTCGCTAGAGGTGAAACCCATGGAGATGAGAGTGGAGAAGAAGATTTTGATGAGCATATGGAGACAGCTTTTGAAGTCAGAAGACGATACTATGGATCTACACAGGATCAGGTGTCAGACCCAGACCTTTGGGCACATCTCCACTACGCTGAATTCACTGATGAGGAAGAAACTTGAAAAGCTGAGATGAATCTACCCAAAAGGGATCGGTGCAATGTCAGCCAGAAAGCTTTGCTGGCTATAACAGACATTTTGTGCCCTAAATTTCTTTTTGTTGCTCTAAGCTCATCGTTCCTTCAAAGTGAAGGAAGATCGCCGCAGGGATGGAAAAAATCCATCATTCTAGAGAACGGTGAGAATCTTGTCACCGGGCTCCAACTGACATGTGCAATTTCAGGCAGTTGAAATGGGCATGCGGAGTTGTTGCGAGTTTGATGTCAGTAGCAGTGTTCAGCGATGTTCAGAACCGGCTGGATTGCTTGCCGTCGGAACTCTCCCGAACCAAGGGAAGAAATTGCAAGAGGCTTCAAGTGCTGTAAATTGTTTCAGCAAGGTGCGGCCAGCTACTGTCGCTGCAGTCCCTTGGATAAAAGCGCCAGACGTTATCCAAATATACTACCACCAATTTTTTTGGGGCTGCAAATGTGTTGCAAATCAATTTGTTTGTGGCTTTGCAGGTTTCATACACTTGGCATGACCCTCGATAGGTTGGTCTGTGGTTGAACAGAAAAGTGAGAATAATCTGGAAAGGGTCATCATGTTTGGCTATCGATAACCGTTTTTATACAAAATGTCATCTGAAAAGAGTGAAATCTACAATTTTGGGGGCGTATCACATTATGCGTATTTTTGCACCTTTCAAACACTTAGCATGACCCTCGATGGAAACATCATTCTAAGTGTATGATGATTAATGTTTGGCAACCTGGGTGTCATTCTAAGTTTCACTTGTGTACTATACGCAAAAATTCGATGCAGGTCTGCATGAACGTCTAGTTGGTGCGCCGTTTCTGCAGATTGAATTTGGTTCGAAATTCATGGCCGTTCCAGTGCTGTATACCTTTCAGATTCCAACAGCTTTAAATTTGAACAATACCGAATTGCCTCAATTTGCCTCTGCAAGAAACACATCCATCTCCGGGCTGCATGGACCCGATGCCGTTTTGCATGTCCGTGTGAAAACCAGGAGGTGCGTGCCATGGACTGCAGACATCACATGGTGCAGTGTATTTGAATTCGCATTTTGGCGTCCCTGTTAGGAATGGGCAATCAACAAACAAGGCAGGAAACGTTTTTGTTCCGTCGTTGCTGTCACATTCGTTTGCACTGTAAATGACATTTCCTTGTCCACACACAAATTCCAGGAACCGTATTCGAGTCATGATGATTCATCATAAGTCAGGATGAATGATAATTCATTATATATACTTAGATAGAAGACATTATGAATATGGTTAGGCATAGTTCAATTATGATATATAAACTGTAATGACAATATCATAACAATATAATGACGATGATTAAATTGACCAAACATGACCAAACATCGTTTTTAACGACATATATCAGAATTATATCATTTTTTTGACGATTTTGTAGCGACTTGACTCGACTAGGCAGCGGGTCCTAGCGAGTCGAGGAGGCTCAGGTGGGCCGAAGACACACAGAGTGATGTTGATTTTGACTTAATTGCTGCGAATATCTGTGAATATATACGTATAGATATATATATATATATAAGACTTCATTATATTTCTATTTGTTAATATGAATTCTATCTATTGTTAACTAAGTGAATTTTCTATTATCATTGACACCATGGCGTCAACATTTTGTCAATGTGATTATAATAAGACATTACAATGCATTACAATATTGCAGCAATTCTACATTTAAAGTAGTTGGCAACATTGCATGAGAAATCCTTTACCATTTTTGGGAAATCAGGCACTGCTTTGCCGATGAATGGCAGTGTACCTATCTTCACTCCTGGCCCTTCAACAGTTTGCTCCTAAGAGATGCGCCGACACCGATCCACCATGAGATCCACCATGAGATCCACCATGAGATCCACCATGGGATCCACCATGAGATCCACCATGAGATTTGCTGAGATCTGCAGTTAGCGCAGTTTCCAATCGTTATCTGATCCTCCAAGCAGCACAAGCAGCACATCAACTTCACAGCATCCATGAGATCAGATCCATGGTGTTGATCACATCATGTTGATGATTTTCTCTGGTTTTGATCTCAGTTTTTATCATGAGAACAGCTGAAAACCCGATGCCTTCTGCGGTTATGGGTTTTTTGACTCAGGATATTGGAAGAATGACCAGTAGCGTCGCGAATGATTCCGGCGAGAAAGATGACTGTCGCTCGGAAAGATGGAGTATGTCAAAGTTATGTCTTTCGAATTGATGGAACCGATTGAAAATTGAGATATTTGAGATGCATCTCATGTTTTTTCCATGCAGTTTTAAGGAAACAATTTAAATTTAAAAAATCGATCTGCTGATGTGAAGAAACTGCCCTGGCAGACGCCGGCAACAGACTCGACAGACCACAGTTTCAACAGACATGGATTTCATGGAGAATTTCGAGCCGATGAATCGATGAATCGATGAATCGCTGAATTGTTGCAGTTTCTCATGGTATTTCTGAAGTTTTCTGAGGCATACCAGTGGTATTCACTTGGACCCACGGAGGTACGTCCCTCAAGAACTTGCTATTGATACGACACTGGATTACTGGACACTGCTGGACACTGCTGGACACTGGACCTGGAAATCCATGGAAATCGATGGAAATCCTGAAACCCGAAACATACTGAGAAATTACAGTGCCACATGAGGAGCCGTGGTGAGCCGTGCTTGTCAATGGACCGTCCTCATTTTTATCTCATTTTTGAGTCTTCCTGCTATGCTTTTGCCCTCGCTTGCCGACTTCTGGGTTGCCCACCAGTATGACCGGCTTGATCTTGCTTTTTAGTTTGAACAGCTTACATAGACACATTGAAATAACATGGAATTTTTGGAGGGAGGTTGGTTCTATTTCAATCTATTTCATCTATATTTCATCTTGCAGAGCGATCCGCTGTCATTCGCAAAATGGACAAACTCTGCGCTTCAACGGGCGAGATGATACGAGATGATATGAGATGCATCGAGATTTTAAGGATCATTTCCTTCAGATCACAATACTGTGTGAAGATGTAGTGAGGTCAGAAATGGTCAGAAAGCCATCTTGTGAAGATGTAGTATTTCCATGTATTTCCTTCATTAGATCATCATTTTTTTTTCGAATGACTTTCCGACTGAGGTCAGAACGTGTTTCTGGCTGCCTCCTTCAATGGCTGGAAGGACCAGATTCCCATGGTCCGTTCCGGACAGGAGTTCTCCGTGGTCCAAGAGCTGCCAAGAGGCGCCGCAGCATGGAGACAGTTTTTTTTTTCGGCTTGATCTCTGTTAATCCCATATTTGATCTATTAGAATAATAATATAATTTGATCTATACATATTTGGATTATATTTGTTGATTTAAAATTTAATATTTGGATTTCTTGTTGATATCTGTTAATTATTGATAATTATTGTGGATATTTGTTGAACATTGTTGATTTATTTTTCGAGTTGGTTGATATGAATTCATAGATGCTTATCGTTATACTGTTATCAGCTATTGATCAAGTAACTGAATAGCCGGCAAACTATGTCAGCACCCATCTAGACAAAATGGTCAGATGTTATCCATGATTCTATGATACATTTTACATACATGAAAGTGGTCACTGTGGTCGGCTGTTCTCAAGCAGTACGTCAACCAACGTGCAGCTGCAGGTGTCCATCAGTACAAGTTCATCGTGGACGATCAGTGGCGCTTTTCCCCGGACCAACCCAGATCCTTGGAGTGAAACGATGAAACATTGGATGAGACATTGAAACAATTTGAAACATTGGAGGCTATCCATCACATCTCGCAAACATTTTTAATCGTGTAGCCGTGGCATGCCGTGGCATGCCGTGGCGATGTTGGGCTTGCAACAAAGTCTTGGCATCCCACGTGCTGAGGAATGCAGGATAGCGTTCCCGACCTGTTGAAAAATCTGGAAGAACGGAACATATGAGGAGTTTCTTTCCAGACTTTCCAGACTTTCCAGACTTTCCCTGGCCGCTAAAATCTGTGTTTCGCCAGGTCAGGGAAATATGAACAACGTCCTGGACATCTCCACATACCAGAAATTTCAGGCAGTCAGCACAGTCGGCACAGTTGTTCTGTGTAATTCTGTGTACCATAGCCAAAATGTGTACCAAAATGTGTACCAAAATGTGTACCAAGTGAATCCAAGTGACAACTGGTTGACCAAGTTTTCTGTTTCCAACTTGGCGCACTGGTAGTCACTGGTCCCTGGTTTGTGGCCAATCTGGCTAGTTTTCAGGTGACAGTGGATGAGAAAGACGCTCCAGGGAAGTTTGGGCAGATGATCCCTGATCCAAATGCGCATCTGCCACGATTGAGATCCTGGGAACGTTTTTTGGTGTCGTTACGTCTCGTTGCGTCTCCTCTCAACATGGGAGCCAGAAAAGCATCGGACAGCGGTCGCCAGGACTACACCTTGGACGCTCCGGTGGTTCCCATGGTGCGTCAATTTGTGGCGAATTCGTTGTTGAAGTATGTTGAAGTCAAACTTCTCAAACTCTTCAAGTTCTGTAGAAAACGCAATCTGGGGTCGGTTCTTTCTAAATCTGTTTAATCTGTTTGTCTGTTTGTTGTGTCAGTTGACATCGGTGTGCGTCGAAGGTGTTGAGCAAGAGCACCTTTTCCGCGATTCCAACCAGGCCGGACGTGCAGCCGGTGCAGCCGTTGTGTTCACCATTGGATCATGGATCTGCCATGGATCCGCCATGGAGCCGTTGTGTGAGCCGTTGGGTCCCTGTGAAGCGCAGGCTACTGCCCGGCCAGGGTCCGTGTGCCCGACGGGTTTTGGAAGCTTTTCTCTTGGACGAGAACAAACATTTCAATGGGCAAAAAACAGATGCAAATGATGCACATTGTATGTCAAGCATTTTCATAAGACAAATGTCGATAATATGTTGATCTGTCAGTTACTGTTAGTAATTCTGTTAGTTATGTAGTCAGTTGATGTCAGTTGTGTGTCATTTTCTGATGTCAGGATGAACATCCCCATCCACTGTTTGTGCGACCACATCTACCTGAGAGAGCGATCTGATGACGCACCCTTGGTTGTGCGAGTCTCGGAAGCCAGTCAGCACCAACCCCAGCCCTTTCAGTTCTAGCTCATGTAATGCGACTGTTAATTAATGTCTCATAAGGTCTCAATTAACGCCAGTTAATGTCAGTTCATGTCAATTAATGTCAATTGATGTCAATTGATGTCAATGAATGTCTCAATGAATGTCTCAATTACTGTCAACTACTCAACTTTTCAAACACCTTGCGTATGTGGACTTGATGCCCAGAAGCTCCTCGCAGCTTGGTGATGTTTTTGTGGCCAGGCTGCAGTCACGCACCGGTACGGTCAAAAATACTCAACCACTGTGTCCACCTCAACTTGCTGTGCCATGCACGGCCATGCTCAAAAGCTCATGAAACTTGTGAATGTTGAACATCTTCTGTTTATTTTTCAAGTTTTTATTTTTTTTAATGACATATTCCTATCATATTCCTCACATTTCATGTGGCCTTTTCCCGACGCCCCCAGGTCTATGTGGCTCGCAGTCACTTTGGGGAATCCGACGAGAGGACGGTGCAACAAACATGAACTTTTGAGAAAATTTGAGAAAATTTGAGAAACAGACACGACCAGATTGAAATCGGCAAAAAGAATCAAAAAGAAGAATAAAAAAGAACTCTGCATATGCCAAAATCATGATCATATCAGATCATATCAAAATCATGATCATATCAGTGCCAAAATCTGAGCCATTGGAGACATCTCTTTTCGTGGCCCGGATCTCTCCAATCTCTCCACTTGGTGGTTTGTTGATAGTCTTGATATGTTTTGACGGCAGGGTCGATTTGGATGGAGCTCCGAACCCTTTGAAAGCAGCAATCCGTCGAGCGTGAGGGGCCCAGCCAATCATTCCTCCAATTTCCGCGAACTTCGTGAATTCCACACTGCTGAACTCTGAAAGTGTAGAAAAAACATATGTAAAACAATTGTAAAACCCTAAAATCATGCAAAATTAGAAAACCATTGAAGAGTATTCAACAGATTTCAACAGATTTCAACAGAATCCAAGACCCAGAAGACCCAGAAGACCCAGAAGACCCAGAAGCAATGCGGCACAGTGCAGCGGGAATTTCATCCCGACCGCATGTGACACGACACGGCGACACGACACGGCGGGCCATGCTGGAGCCTGTCCGCAAGTCAAATGACACTCGCGATCTGCTCGCCTGAGCCTGCAAAAGTGAAGGCAAATAGCACATATTCACATATCATATATACATTTATTCACATACGTATATATATATAATAATATAAATACCAGTAGTACCGCACAAGGCGGTGGCGGAAGTTTCAAAAATAGGAAACCTATAGGAGAGACTGGTTGTTGTGAATCAGGGATGGCAGAGCGAAGCCACTGATGGACCGAAAGGTGGTTGAGGTCTCCTCTCTTTCTCTCTTTCTCTGACTA